CGATATGACGTTCGTTTATATGTTAGATCTCAACTAACGCTACGGATATTCCACCCAATTATAAGGCTATGACGAGTAGCTGAGAGACAGGCTAAACGAAGGACCGCATAGTGCGGTGGTGAACACGTTAGCCTCGGAAAGGGTAATAACGAGTTCATTCCCTATCGCAGCCACCTGCGGTCTGGGAGTTTTAAAAATATTTCAGCATTATTGTGGTTATAAGGTTATTGTTATATAAAATACTTTGAGGCTGTGAGGAAGGCGTGATCGCCGAAACGTCAGTCATCGAACTACAGCAGCAGCAACAATAACGGCTTGTAGCAACCAATCAGCTGGCCAAGGGCAGTTCGTTAGAATATGTACGGATATATCGAGTACACATACCGAGGTTAAGACAAAGCCGGTCTTTTGAATTATCAACAGTTTCTTAATCACTATAATCCAAAAACTAAACTATGGAAATGGAATAATAACAATCTTGCATGAAATCTGTCCTTTTTACAGGTAGAGACGTAAATTTTTGTCATTTTTCTGAGCAGACAGAGAGACCTATGCAAATGAGGACCGCACTTTAGGTTAGCCCAGCCCGTTCCACTGAGCCGCGTTTCAAACAACAATTTTCGATACGATGGTTAACTCTTTGAAGTTTAGGCCGAATAACATATCACATACAACGTGAGTGACTTCAAAGAAGTTCTCGTTCTTAGAAGGAAATCGTCTTTTTTCGTGAGACTTTCTCTTGTCTATTTTCTGCCTTCTATAATTATGCCAGGGTATTATACGAAATACAACCACAAGATTGCTGAGATATTTGCATAACTTCGGGCCGCAGGTGTCTGCGGTGGGGAACGAACGCACTATTGTCTTTTCCGGGGAGTAACGCGTTCACCACCACACCATACGGGTCCTTCGTTTCGCCAGCACCTGCTATGCGGAGTTTTGCAAATATCTCAGCAATCTTGTGGTTGTATTTCGCTTTCTCTTGTTTTTCTAAGAACGTCAGAATTTCGTTCACTCATGGTTTTTGTGGAGAATAGTTAGTAATCTTCGGTTTTCAAGTCTTCAAATTCCACACAACTTCATTCATCACTGAGACTAATTATTGCCATCATTGTTGGGCTGGAAATATTCTGTATTGACGATTATCACTTTTTCCTTGCAGAAGCTCTCTGTCAACAGCTCGTTTCAGAATGACGCGTCTGAGGTCTCTGACAACAATGTGGGCACAATGTTTATCAAAAAAAAAAAAATAACCTTCTTCGGAGCAGCCAAGCTATAATTTTGTTCACTAATATTAAATCTGACTATTCCAAAACTCTCATCTCATACGTCCAAAATTGGTCTCCGTATGCTCCTACGTTTTCCAAGGTATCCCCTATCATTACAGATGAGACGTTTTGCTCGATGTCATTAGTTCGGATCGTTCTGAAAATTATTATTTCTTCTATAGTGGTCTTCACATGATCCTTATTTCACCAAAGAGAACAACTGCTTTGTCACACCGATTACATCTTCCGCCGCTCCCATTCTCTCAGAAATCAATTTCTTTACGGTTTTCCTGTCTCGAATACACTACGAAGTGTTCGCTGTGATAAGCTCCTCTGAGCTCTCCACTTCTCTGTGGAGTGATTTTCATGAAATCCGTACTGAACAGGAACTTTTCATTTACAATGTTCCCGTCTTCTCGATTTCTTCACCGGGTAAAAACAACTTGTAAAATTCATGTTAGTCAGTAATTATAATTCATTAGATCTTACGACTTCGTCTTCAAAGGACAGGATCCGTAGTTCAATTTACTTGGAGTATATGTCATATCCCAAATCAGTCCTCGCCTCTTTTATTTCCACAAAAGGCCAGTTCTCGTAAATTCCAAGTTGAAAATTGACGAAATTACAAGGTTAGGAAGGAACTTAAGTGTACTTTTCTTCTAGTAGACGAACCTCGGCAAGCTTTACGTTCTGGGATGAAAAGGCCTTATTCGTTTAACGGTTCTATCCGAATAAAAAGCAAGGGTTGGAAAGACGTGAAAGTTGAGTAGGCTGCAAAAATAAAACCAGAGGTGGAAAGTAGGAGTTAAAAAAGCACGAATAAAGCGCTAATGTCGAGTGTAATCATGCACTTGGATACTTGGATCGCCCGTCCTCACTGGTGTCCGCAGCACAATCTCCACCTTTTCGGAGTTTTGCTGGTTTAGCCATCGTGGTCCTTGGAGTCCCTAGGTCAGCCAGGCCAAATTCTGCTCTAGGTCCTCACGACCGCAAGCAGTCGCAGCCCTTGTGGATCAGAGCGGGAATTGCAACCACGTGACTAGTTTGATACCAGGGTAGAGGTGGATCCTGGTATCGGTTTACTCTTAGCTGGGCTACCTAATGGAAAAGTCGGACTTCTTCTCAGTTTGGAAACCTTGCTGAGAGACGAATCTACCTGCTACACAACGTACTCGGACTCCCAAGAAACCTTCCAGCCACTATGAGGCAATAGGGAAGGTCTAATCATTTAAAAGACTGAAATTGCTAAGCCAATTCGACCCGAACGAGGAAAAAAAGCAGTATTGTCATTCTGTTGCAATTAGTTTTTACTCAATATTTCACGTTTTTCAATGCATTCAAACAATTTTCCCTTTCTCTCATTTGTCATGAAACGTCTAAAAACCTCTTTTCCAATCTTCTCCTAAGGTTTGTTCTTTTTCACTTTTCCAGATTAATGCACAATTAATCATGCACCCGTGGAAATGTTATTCAAAACTTAACACTTCGTAGATTCTGATCTTTCTCGTGCAGCAACTGTCATCCATACGGATAGTTGAGTGGTTGTGTGCATGGTTGGGTTGTCACAGGTGTTAGTTTATCGGAAGCATCATGCCATGAATTGCTGGCTGTTGAAGCAGCGACTGTTTCAGCCTTGCAGAAATCCATCAGAATACAGTTATCTACCTCTGACCCGTATATCTACAACTTTCTGCGTGAAGTCCTAGAAACGCCCTAGCACGGTTATGTCGAGATTCCTTAGAAGTAGAGAGCCAAATCTGAATTAAACAGCATATGAACATGGAGTTCTGGCCATAAATATTCTACTACTATTTAATTATTTCAGACTTTTAACCCAAACATTTAGTGTTTCATAGTAGAAAGGTTTGTTCCCTGGTTTCGGACTGCTTCAACTTCTAGTAATGTCGCCTAAATTTGAAAGGAATACCGTCGTTTCAATCCAATCGGAAGTCCACTTAAAATCCACAAACGCAAGAACTCCAGTGGTCGAAAGCTTGCTCAACAATTGTTTTTAATCCAAATAGGTAGTTGTCACTTCTCTTGAAGATCTAGAGATACCGTAACTTGAGCTTAGATGACGTACTCTGTCTGCGTCCTTCTCAACAGCAATCAATTGTCGTCATTGTCGTCGTCGTCGTCAACGTAAGATTTCATTAGTAAAAATTACCAGACTGCTTAATGGCATCTCAATGGAACTATAAAACGGCTATGTTATCACTGGGTATGGCGCTGACATCGGTTGGTCCTGAATAACATTACCATTAAAATTGAATTCAAACATGGAAATTTTCACAAAACTTTTGAACGTTCCTGCAATAAGACTCGCCGGTTGTCGAACGTGAGAAATTTTTTCTTTCACAGTAATACATGGAAGGGTAATCGAGTTCGTGGAGGCAGGGAATAAAGAGGGAAAAGAATGAGACAAAGAGAAGTTGTTTGGCTGGAGATGATGCGACTTCCACTGTATCATAACTAAGCTGATTTTCCTCTCTCTTTTTTATTTTTTTAAGCATATTAATCTATAAACTTTATTAGATGCAATTCTAGATATAACTTTAGTTTCTTAACTCGTTGTTCTGTCTGTTTTATCGTTCCCATAATTTTTTGTAGAAACAGTTAGCGCTTTTTAACAAGGAATATGAAATTCTATTTTCGGTATAAGGAGCTTGTGTGGTGCAGTGGTCGGAAGCGTCCTGCAACACACACGTGGAATCGATTCCCGCATCCATGGCCCACCAAGCCTTCCATCCTTCTGTGTTCAGCAAATTAGTACCAGACTTCTCTGCAAGAATAGCAGCACTGATACATCGGTAGACCACCGCGAGTTATTGTAAAGGCCAGGCACAATACAGATATGCATTCAGTCACCTCTATGCGATGCTTATTGGAGTCGAATGCATGGCGCATTCCTCAGGAATTGATCAGCGCCATGAGCTTTATCCTTTTAATTTTCGGTGTTATTAAGATACGTTGAAAATAAAGGAGACCAATTGAAATCTTTCTGTAACTGTAACAGAAGTTTTATCTAAGCTCTTTTTACTCACATGGTGTTGACTGGAAATGAAGATTAGTTTGCTCGTTGAAGAAGAAGACCTTAGCAAGGAATCTCAAGTTTGAAGCTTAAACGATCTTTAGTGATTCTTTTATCACCATTTTGGGCCAGTTTTTAATTGCTTGCAGTTGCAGAGCTAAAAAGTTCCGATAAACCTTAACAAATATTTGTATCCATCGAGTTTTCAATTCATTTGTGAGCCTTCGGAAAAAGTCGTGGAATGTTTCTCATAATTTTTATTACAGAAAAGATGATTAAACAACACCAAGTGTCCCGCCTTAAAGCCATTATGCTTCTAGGAATAACTTCGTTGTTTTCGAAAGGAAAGTAAGGCAGGCTATCCTTTCACTTTCGCTCTACGTGTTAATTTCGCTTTTACCTTTCCAATGTATTTACGTGAGTTCACATAAAAACGGACATATTTGTGTTTTTTTATTAAAAAACATATAAATATACAATTTTTCTCTTCCGCTTCTATCTCTCTTCTTTCTTTCCTTCTCTTCTCACTGCGTTTTCTCCTACTCTCTCCTTCACCTTCTCTCACTCTCTTTTATTCTCTCTGTTATATGCACGGTGTATGTTTCTTGTTCATGCCTTTTTCCCTTAACGAATACAATTTTCATCATTCAGAAAAAATTTGGCTCATCAGGACTTTTTTTTGCAGCTAACTACCAGCAGACATGTCAGTTGTGACCAATTTAATCATCTACATGTGCGAAAGTAAGTTTGTTACCTTTCTTTGGAAACGATCAATCCGTTCGACACTTGTATTCATTCGTTTGTTCTGACACAAAACTTCTAAAACTTTTTATTCATCTTTCTTCTACATTAAAAGAAATCGGGAAATGATGTGTAAATTCTAACACATTTAGGCTTTTTCATAATCGTCGCCAATATTCCGCTTGTCATAGCGATTCTACTAAGAAAACGAAATCGCGAACGTCGAGAATTTCTTATCGCGGCGGCTATGATATTGGGTGATATCATCTACGCTTTGGGATTCTTCCTTTCGGCCACGAAAATGCTTGAAAACTTATCACGTGGTAGGTATTAAGTTTGGCGGTGGAATTCTACCACTCTGGTCTGTTCTTTCTTACATTGCATTTATGACAAACTAATCTACAGGTGAGCAGTTAAAAACCCGATCCGAGTGCATGATGCATGTGTCAACGATCGCTCTCTTTTTTGGGTCATCGTTGATCGGCCAGATGAATACGGTAACGGCAATTGATCGTTTCCTGGCCGTCGCCTTTCCCATATGGTATTATCAGACCACAGCTTGTTATCCCATCGTTATGCTCTCAGGTTAGTTCATTTCTAAAATTTATCATTTTAGGAAGGGCGTGCGGCGCAGTGGTCGGAGGCGCCACGTAACACACACGTGCAATCGATTTCCGTGCCCATGGCCCACCAAGCCTTCCATCCATCAGGGGTCGGCAAATTGGTACCAGACATATCTGGGAGGATAGCATCACTGGCTCGATACATCAGTAGGCCACCGTGAGTCATTGTAAAGGCCAGATATGCATTCAATGACTTCCAAACGATGCTTGGTCAAGTCTGCATGGCGCATCCCACAGCGAATGTTTGATTTTAAGGCTTTATCCTTCCTTGTTTTAATGCGTCCACCAACAAACCATGCAAGTCTTTCGTTCCGCCTTTCTCTCAGCCATATTATTCACCTATCGGCGCCATGCTCATATGAGGGATCTCGAGCTAGTTAGTCGCGAGGCTACGTGGTGCGTCTCCAGGTGGCGGATAGGGAGTTAGTTGTGGACCAAAAACGACTTTTGTTTCTATAAGATGCAGATAGATCCAGGGATCCAGGGAATGAACCCCTGTTTCTGCTGCGACGATTTGGCACACTCTTTATTTGCTAGCCGTATTCATGCATGCGTGTATGGGTGTGTTCTCGCTTACGCGGATTGTATTCTACGAGTCAATTCGACCAAAAGCTTGCAATCAAGTAATAGGGAAGTACATGGGAGGCGGTTAGGAGGCGCCTCCAACAAATAAGCTCCATGTTCACTCAGAGAGCCTGATAAGCTACCTGTGATGAGTATACCCAGCCTCTACGCTCAAAGCGCAGCAAGCTATACGTGGGTGTCAAAATGCTAAACACATTTTCAAGAAACGGACCTCATTCTCCTAATCCCTAAAAGAGCTCCGATTTCGCGGCGTTGGGTTGGACGAGTACGTAGAGGCTGCTAAAATCTCAGGCTCAATGGAAGCTGCGTGGATTACAAAGAATTATGGTGACGATCTGTGCCTATAATGCATGTACACTTGTATCCTAGTCCTCGATAGAAGAATTGCCCATGCAAGCAAGAAGGATAAGCTACGACGAAATCGGCAAGGCCTAGATGAGACGACGCCACCCATTCAATGTCGCCTACGACATTGGAGAAGAACTGTTCCTCAGAACATACGACAGTAGAGAAGTTCGCGTCGTCGTTGTTTTCGTCAACACGAGTTTGCCTATGAGCATCGATTCATTCGAACAGCTTACAATCCGAATAGGACGTTTACGGCTAAAGAGATGTGGACCAATACCGGCTTTGACAATCTTCGTCGTTTACGCACCGACATCAAAATATAACGAAGAAGAAGTCGAAGCGTTCTATATGGACTTGGAGAAGTTCTACAGAGAAAATCGTACATTCTTCAAAGTTATTATTGGAGATTTTGACGCCAAGATTGTACCAAGAAGAACGTCTGAAGAACGTCACATTGGGACCCACGGATTAGAACTGAACGAAAAGGCTGAGCGACTATCTGAGTTTATCATAGTGACCAAGACAATTCATGGTAACTCGCAATTCCAGAAGCGTCACATTAGGACCCATGGATTGGAATGGAATGAACAGAGTCAGCGGCTATCTGATCTGATCGTGGCGACAAGAACAACCATGACAACTAACAATTCCAGGAGCCCCACATTCAGGACGTGGGAGTCCCAATGGAGAGCACCATAACGAAATAGAGCACATCATAGTAAATACAAGATTTTGCTTCACCGATTTCGCTGTTGTCTCAAAATTCTACACGGAAAAAGACAACCGTTTCCTTCGTGCAAGATTCCATTTTTCGCGGAAAGGATAAAATGCCGCTTAATTCAAAAACCAGAACCACCGAAAGCTGGAACTTATTCAATTCATTAGCCGGCCGTTGGGAAGATGCCGTAGTCGATAACATCGACGAAGAATACGATTGGGTATTCAACACCTTCACGTCAGCGCTATGAAAGCTGAGAGTTTGAAAGTCACCAAGAGACGTCTGACTCCAGAAACACTCAAGCTGATACGCCAGCGTGGAATCGCACAAGCTGCAGGCAACCGCGAACTAGCGTCCGAACTTGCAAAACAATGCAGACAGGCGATATAAGAAGATCTTAAAGAGAGAAGAGCAGAAGTAATGGTCGAAGGTGCAGAGGCTGGGAAAAGCATTCGCAAAGCCCACCGAAGCTCCACCAATTACAAGACCGAGATCATTGCACAGACGGAACAGTTACAGCGTCCAGAAAGGCAATGGAAAAAATCATTCACGAATACTACTCGTATCTCTTCGATAGCCACGCTCACCTTCCGTCATATGAAACAAAGGAGGATGGATATGTTGTACCACCGGTTTTCCCTTCCGAGATCGGACATGCCATTTCGTCGGTGAAAAATCGAACAGCACCAGGTCAAGACAGGATAAGACCAGAACACCTGAAGAACATTCCGCGAATCCTCGTAAACACACTGGCTAGGCTCTTCACACGTCACCTGCCTGAATGCAAGGACCCTACTCAGTGGAAGACCAGCAAGACCGTGTATTGTTCACGAAGGGTGACCTTCACGATATCGGCAACTATCGCCCAATCTGCTTGCTGTCTGTCGTCTACAAACTTTTCACTTGAGTCATCCTAAACAGGATTAACAGACACTAGACGAAGGACAGCCGTGTGAGCAAGCAGGGTTTCGAAAATGATTTAGTACGATGGACCATATCCACACGGTAACACGGGTCATTGAGGTATTGCGAGAGTACAGAAGACCGCTGTATATCACATTTATCGATTTAAAGAGGGCCTTTGATTCAATTGAGATAAAAGCAGTCGTGGAGGAACTTGATAGTCAAAGAGTCCTTACTCAGTATAATAATAATCTTCTTGAGCTGTATAGAGATTCCTCAATCAGATAGACAAAAGTTTCACAACTAAGATATTAGCATTCCACAACGATATTAACATTGATGTCAAAAGAGGAGTTAGGCAAGGCAGTACTATCTAGCCAAAATTATTTACCACCACCCTCCAGAACGTCATGCGAACATTGGAATGGGATAATATGGTAGTGAAAATCGATGGTCGGCAGGTACACCATCTTCGCTTTGCTAATGACATCGTCCTTATAACACCAAACATTAGCCAAGCGAAACGTATGCTTGACGACTTTGATAAAGCATGTGGAAAGATTGGTCTTCGGCTAACTCTCACAAAAACGATGTTCATGAAGAACGGATTGGTTTCGCATGATCCATTCACGCCCAACGGAACGAATATCTCCGAATGCTATAGTCATATCTATCTAAAGAAAACGAGCGGCTTGGGGAGCTTTCAAGAGCATCAAGGATGAAGTGAAGAGAACAAAGAACACCTGACTCCGTGCCCACCTTTTCGACTCAACGGTACTTCCTGCCCTAACGTAGGCTTCAGGAATACCTTGTTGCTGCGTAAGCAGAGCGAAAAATCACTCAGCGTATTCGAACGCGCAGTCGAAAGGACGATGCTAGAAGTATCCCATTTCACACATGTAAGGGATGGGATCCGAAGCTCCGACCTGCGTCAACGATCAAAAGTCAAAGATGCCGTTCTGTACGTCAAACAGTCGAAGATAAGGTGGCTCGACTCACTCGACGATCAACGGGACTACAGGTGATACAGTTGGTGGAGGTGATCGGTGCTATCAGAATTCACCCGTCAACGAACTGATCTGGGAAGCACAAATCGACATTCAACCCAGTTAAGTGGATGCGGTATTTTCTCTTTTTAGCTTTCTTTGCAAAGGTTTAATAAAGGTTAATTTTTAAAATAGAAGATAATTTTAATGCTACAAATCCACAAGAGGATAAAAAGCCTTTAAAGGGCACACATAAAAGTTGAAAACAAAGGAAAAGGAAGAGTAAAAATGAAAATAGAAACATATTTATGATCGGTTGTGTTTGGCGAAGAGGCTTCTGGACCAAAAATAAAGGAAACTGGAAAAGAAGACTGCAGAAAAATAGAAAGCTGCACTACTAGAAACGAAAGAAGTTGCAATCAAACTAAGCAGATGTAAATTATGGCCATTCTATCCAACTGCTCAGGTATTTTTACAGGAGTAATGTATAAAAATGCACACATAAGAGAAAATTTCTATATAGTTGTCAGAAAAAACACTGGAAATGAAAGAGTCGTTGATGAGCTTTTAATGATCACTTATAGTTTTCAGCTGCATACGGTTTAGCGTTCTTCACGCTGATACTCAACTGGATCCTTGTGCTAAGCGACCAGGAAGGGAAGTCAAAAACAGTCAGCATGAATTGCAGCTTAACGGAACCAAGTTATCGAGGAATCGGGTAAATATTGTACGCTTATCTGGCGTAGATTGAAATAATATTTCTATATTTGAGCCCTCGTAGAGCATTGGTTAGAATGCGCTACAATGTACACACTGTTTTTGGTTCGATCCTAGGGTTCACCAAGTCTTCCATCCCTCGGAGGTCGAAAATTCGGTACCAGTCTTATCCGGGAGGATTGCAACACTTACATGATACATCGGCAAGCCAACAAAAGTGATTGGGCAACACATATAGAAAAGAAGTATACACCAGATATGCATTCAGTCACCTCAATGCTCAATGGTGTTGAGTTGATACATGGTGTATCCTCAAGGGGTTGGCCAATAACGAAACCTTTACCCTTTCCTTTATCAACGTATTAATATGAACTAGGACTGACACGTGTGTACATCGTAAAATTGCGAAAGGAGTGTGTAGTCAAGAAGTAGTGATGTCGTAGAATATTCTCGAAAGCCTGACTTGTCAGCACCTGGTCCAACCATCGTCCGGAGTCGGAAAATTGGTAGCAAACTTGTCTGAATCAGCTCGTTCACTTAAGTCTACATGAGATGGCGCTTAGTGCTGGTGAAGGTCTGGGAACGCACTATCACAACTATCTTAGGATTGCTGCAAGCATTTAGTCAATTAGCATTAAGCTGTATCGTTAAAGAAGAACCAAATCTTCAAGAGGTAGCCAAACACATTTCGAATTCCGAAGAGCTTCATAGGTGATAGGTAATGGGAGCGAATGTTAGGATCAGCAAAAAGTGTGGTGTAGACTCATCTTAGACCACTAGAACAAAAACTAGATAAAACATTGGTCTTGACCATGCATGATATATATCTTCACAACGGTTTACAGTCTCAACGTGGCTGGGAGGTGCTCCTGAGTGCCGCACTGCGATGTACAGCGGGGTCTCCCAAGCTCAGAAGGAGTCTGGCGTTTCCAACAGGAAGCCTAGCTAAGTGTGAACGGTTACCAGGATCGACCACCGTTTTGGTATCAAACCAGTCGAATGGTGGCAAATCTCCCTTTGATCCACAAAAGCGGAGACTGTCTTTGGAGTTGACGACCTGGGGCAGACTTCGGCCAGTCTGACCTCGAGGCTCTTGGGAACCACGATGCCTAAACCAGCAGATCTCCGCACAAATGGAAATTATGCTGGAGCCCGTACAACCAGTGTGGAAGGGCCATCCATGTATCCAAGTAAGCAAGAATATATATATATATAATATGTATATGTAATATGTATATATATGTATATTTGTATGTGTATAGCGCACTGTTTAGAAGTACTCTGTAATATAAATGGCGTCGTTAGTTTCAATCACATGCATCACGCATGCCAAGATCTCTCCATTCCTTGAGGGTCTACGGCTTAATTCAGCAATTGCCTATGAAGACAAAAACATTGCCTTACTACCTTGCACTTTACTCGCTGCTACTAATTTATCGTTTTTCAGGAGTTTTTTTAGTATATTATCGATGGCTGTGTATTTCCATCGCCGCTGTAATGTATATCGCAGTGATAGTCCTTATTCGTAAGGTGACTGCTTTCATGGCACTATTTCCATTTTTTCTCTCTTTTTGTCTCAGAAGAAGAAATGAATTGCTCTGAAAAATATTCTGTTTTCTACATTATCCGAAATTAGGGCGCGTGTGGTGCAGTGGTCGGAGGTGCCCTCATACACACATGGGATCGAATCCCGCGCCTATGGCGCACCAAACCTTCTATTCATCCGGGGTGGGCAAGTTGGTACCAGATTTGTCTGGGAGGATAGCTGCAGGCGCATTCCCCAAGGATTGATCAACGCCGAGAGCTTTTCCCTATTATACGAAATTATATCTCGTAGCACTCGCAATACGCGCCGTTTAGCTGGCCAGAATTGAATTATTAATCAACTGCCTCTAAAATTACCAATAAATGAAATTGTTCGAAATGCAAAATAGAGCTTTCGTTGGCCGATGCTCATCACAATACATGTGGTGAATCAGCAGTCAATCGATTTCAAGTGCAGGAAAAGCCAATTTATGAGCTGTAAAAAGACATGTGAAAGAAAATGATGCCTATATAACTCATGCCGGCGACTCAGCCCGCCGCAACTGACTGCGTAAAATGGACATTATTCGTTATGTGTCACTCGAAAAGGTGAAAGAATAGCAACAAATTTGTTGCGTGCTTCTCTTCATGATTCAAGGAAAACACGGAAAAATACCTCTTGTATTCTCATTGCTAATTAAAATAAGTGTAGAATATTGTTTCAAGGGTGCAGTAGTAACTCCTAACTTGATGATTTATCCAGTTTTACAGCGATTCAAATCTACATCACGAACGGTTAGGACATCGAACGGCATGATCCAGAACAAGAAAATCATGCGCAGTAATGTAACAATGGGTAAGTTGGTCTCATAAAGCTTAAAATGGGTAAAAAGTAGAATTGACAAAGAAAGCCTACTACGGATAAAATAGAACATTCAATAAACTCAAAGGAACTGATAAACCCGATCAGAGGAAGTTCAGTACTCAAAAGACCAACTTTCTACAAACCAACCTCGACATAGATAATTGATATATTTATTTATGTGATCTTATAAACTGATCTCCTTTAGCTGATACGAGGTTGGTATAGGTCTTCGTTGTCGTTGTCGTTGTTGTTGGCGTTGTTGGTCGATGGCTGACGTTTCGACGATTTCGCCTCCCTCAGATCCTGGACGTATTTTATATTAGAATACTTTAATTACTCGGTGGAAAAAGACTAAAGTATTAATGGAGATCAATCTTTTAAATAGACGCCATATTGAACAGAAGGGCTACTCACCGTGATGTTTCGAAGTGGGACTGGCCCACGCGCTGTTCACGTGGGGTCGCGAGCAAGGCACACTCCGGGATCAAAATATCATTTTTAAACAGGGCGCTAGGTCACGTGTGATAGTGAGGCATTCGTCCTTCCGGTTCGTCTTTGGATTTTTGAAATTTATCCAAAACGCTTCAAGAGTTCTCCGCGTTGATTTTTTTTTGGATATGCGTACCTAGAGGAGTGTTTAGACGGATTTTAGCTTTTCCATCTAGATGTTCTTTTATGCGGAAACAATGCGGTCTACTCGTTTCTCCAATGTGTTCGTCACCGCATCCCTTACATGAGCTTAGGTATATTGTGCCTGAACTCATGCAATCGCCGTCTCTCCAGTTAGGACAGATCATACAGTTTTCTGAGCGGCACAAACGAGAATTGAGGCGGTTGCGAACTATATGACGGCGACTCCGTAGTGCAAGCCATTCTTGAGCTGCTTGTAAAGCACGAAAAGAACATAAAAATGTACGGCTTGTCGATTGCACAACTAATGACTCTCTTAAAAGAGTGTCTTAGTTGTTCAATCTTTAGGTGCTCTGGGAAATATTTTGCACAAATGAGAGGGTTGGTCATGTGACAGTGTTTAGCACCAAGCCTTGCCATCGCTTTCATGTCTAAGGTGGAAGCTCCAGTTCTCGATCACCGACCCTTACTCTACTGTCGATACATAGACGACTGGTTCTCCGTCAATTCCACAGAAGAACAGATGGATGAGTGCTTTGAATTGTTAAACGGACAGTCAGAGTATTTAAAATCTACACGAGAAAAACCAACAGAGAACTGCCTTCCATTCTTAAACATCCCATCGTAAGCCAAGTAGTAAAAACATACTAGTTCACTACCTCTCCTCTCTTCCTTCACACATGAAAAAAGCATTTATCAAAAACGTGTACCGTACGGCTAAAAATGTGTGTAGAGGAGAAGAGGAAAGGAAGGAATCGCAAAACCTGGCACGAAAAATTGCCATTTCCAGTGGCTACGAAGTAGAAACCACTCGGGTTAGAGCAAAACGTAGGGTAGTTCCCTAAGGTAATGTTTTAGACGTAAGTAAGATCGCTTTTAAGCTATCTCTCATATCAAATGAAGTAAGTTACACCATTAAGAGATGCTTTAAAAAAAAGTGGCCTTGAAAATTATGTAACGATTATTGACATTCCCACCCAATACGCTACGCCGTCAGTTAGTTAGCAACCGTCTCTATGGTCGTTTGTGCAGCTCAGGAAACTGTATGATCTATCCTAAAGGGAGAGATGGGGATTGTATGAGTTCAGGCACAATATACCTAAGCTCATGTAAGGCATGCGGTGACGAACACATTGGAGAAACGGGTAGACTGGATTGTTTCCGCATAAAAGAACATCTAGATGGAAAAGCTAAAATCCGTCTAAACACTCCTCTAGGTACGCATGGGGCGCAAAGCACAATAGCGATGATTTTGAAGTGAATGTGCGGATCCTAGCGCAGGAATCGAAAACATCGACGCAAAACTCTTGAGGCGTTTTGGATAAATTTCAAAAATCCAAAGATGAACCGGAAGGACGAATGCCTCACTATCACGCGTGACCTGGTGCCCTATTTCAAAATGATATTTTGACCCCGGGGCGTGTCTTGCTCGCGACTCCTCGTGAACTACGTGTGGGTTAGTCCTACTTGTAACATCACGGGAAAAGCCTTTCTGTTCAATATGGCGTAGAACTACATTTGACCGTAGCATCCTAACCCACCATCTATTTAAAAGTTTGATCTTCAATTTCAATTTATTATTTACTGCCTACTCTTTTTAACAGCAGAGTATACATTGCGAAATATAACTTCAATGATGCTGAGATATTTGCAAAACTCCGGACCGCAGGTCTATGCGGTGGGGAACGAACGCGCTATTGTTCTTTCCCGAGTAGTGTCCTTTCCCCCCAGATCAGCCGCGCTGACGGGTGATTGCTGTGGCAAAGATCGATAGAACTAGCTGAGAAACAGGCGAAACGGAGGACTCGCATGGTGTGTGGACAACGACAACGAAGACCCTATACCAACCTAGCATCAGCTAAAGAAGATCAGTTTATAAGAAGTTCAGTACTCTTCTTGGGTTGAATGTTGAATACTTCGAGAAAAGATGGTCAAGGAGGAAATGATGAAACACGAAATCATTCTTTTCAATATGTCGTACTTGGA